GAGAATCAGGACGATACAGCAGGGCCAGTACCTTCCTTTATGCAGAAGAGAGCTGCGAGTTTTTTGTGGGTTTTTTCGGGCTGTGTGGCCATGTTCTAGAAGAGCTGAGAGTGCTGGCATTCGCAGGTCCATGAGGCTGGCTGAAAAGCAGCTGCTCTGAGGTAGGATTTGGCTATTTAAACATCTGCAAAAGGCTTCCTCAGTGCCAAGACTTATTGTAGTTTCCTGGTGAGACTATGGTCGGTGTGGCTCCTTGTTTCCTGCTTTGTGTCTCTTGCTTTTTGCCTTGTGGAACCCTGTTGCCTTGACCTCGGACCGGACTGGACTTCTGTTGATTGCTGCCTGCCCTGACCTTAGACTGACTGACTTTGAATTCTGGACTCTGCTTTGTTTGTACCTCGACTACAGGAAGGTTTGTAGCTGGCTTTGCTGTCTGTTGCTCACCCTCATCATCCTTAGCAGCAGTTGTTAGAACTGAGGCTGGCTGTAGTCCAGGACACTATCAGAATGAGCATATGTATTATTTACCACTATGTCATGGATTGGGAACCAGAGTAATGCAAAATCTCTGGACCAAATTCCCACATTCATCCACCATACGACCCAATTGCCATGTATTTTGTATGGCATGTCATACAAACATGTCCACCACAGCCCCATTTTGCCCATTTGTCTGTGCAAAGCAAACAGTATGTGTTGTCTTGTTATTTAATGTTTAGGGGGACTTTTATTGCACAGAAAAAGAGGTGATTGATGAGAAAGTGTAATAGCTGAAGAAACTTGAAATATATAGCTCCTTTACTTACTTTCCCCCCTACTGGCTGTGCCATTCATCGAAATCCCCCAAACAGCTTCAATGCTTCTGCTTTGGAATGCAGTTGGACAACTGCTTACAATATGCTCCAGATGGGCCAGTAGAAGGCATTTTGCATTTTTTTAAAAAACTTTCATAAGCTTTGAAAAATATATCTTTTTTACATTTGACATGGTATGTTTTATGGGAAAACAAGATCTTTTCCTGCCTCTTCCCCCTCCCCTGTGCTAGTAAATACTGCTGAAATCTGTTTCTGACATTTTCCCCTCCCTCAGCAAAGAATGAGATACCTGGAAGTAAAACACTTAATCATTGGCAATTCTCTGCAATGGATTTATCTTTCCTTTTGATATTTCTGAAATCACACACACACATACACACCTTTGTTGCAGAGGAATCTGAGATTCATGCATTTCAGAATGATATTTAGCCATTGCTGCATCAATAATTGACTTCCATTCATCTCCCATTTTCATTTATTTTTCCTTGGGCTACACTGAGTTTCGGGGTTAATGGCAAACTACATTTAAATGCAGCTGGTAGGTTGTTGTTTTTTTCCTGACATCTTCCTCCACTGCCTTGATTAAGCAGTTGGGGATTACTCAGATTATGCTATCAACATGATGCATCATTAAAATAATGATAGAAAGTGATACTTCAGAACTTGCTGAAGTGGGACCATATAATTATCTTATGCTGAATGCAACTTGTACTAGTTGCTGGGATGCTTCCCTTCTCATTCTAGAAAGGTTAGTGACACTGGCTAACTTCATTTTGAATACTTAGCAGGGTGTGCGTATAATAATGTGGGAACATGGCCTTCTGAAGAATCCTTCTACCCACTCAGACAAATTTGACCCTTTGCTTCCTCCCACCCCCACATAGATCTCTCATAGAATGCAAATGTATGGCAACCCCCAACCATACATTGCCATGGCTGCTGGATACAGTCGGATGGCTTTCTGTGCTTATGTATGAAGAGTTTGTGTGTTTTTTAGAAGTAGAAATCATTGTGTGCCTATACTCAGTAGCTCTAGTCAGCATGTCTCTTTAAGAATTTAGACACAGTATGTATTTAGCATTTCATCTTTTGTCAGTGTTAGCCATACATTCTCTCTTCTTGCATCAGTCTGCAGTTTGTCTGAGTTGGTTCATCTTCCATTTTGGAAAGTGCACTTCTCTCTCTCTTCTGTGTTTGAAGAGCACATATTACAGAGTCTCTGACCATGAGATGTTATGAAACATTTCAGTATTTGTAAGTAAATCAACTTCATATAGTTTTAATTAAACTTGCTTAATTTTTCTGCTGGACTCTATGTGTGTGGAGTGGTGGTTTGGGACTAGCGGTTGCTCATCTTCTCATTTCAAATACTAATTACTCTCCTTGAGAGATGCACAATTGTCTTTCACATCCACAGCAGAGTTTGCAAGTGTCTGGCATGAGATAAATGGATATGTATAGCAACCATTTATAATGCTTGCTTGCTTCTCCTTGTTAGCACCTCTGTGTCTTAATGGCTGCAATAGTGGAATTTACTGTGCATTATTCTACAAGCTAATTGCAAACATTTTCTCTGAGTGTGGGTCCTTAGGCCGCCAAAATGGCTCCATCTCAAGAAGGAGGTATTAGCAGTTTGATGACAAACAGTATAGAAAATTTCAGGAGCCCGTGTGTACACAGATCTGAAGAATGTAGACCCCTGTCCTAGCTACTTACAGTATCAGTTTTCATTGTGAGATAGACAGCAGAGGGAGAGGGAAGAGAGGTGAAGATGAGAAAGAATACATTTAAGCAAATAAAATTAGATCTGAGCTTGGAAAAATCTCTCTTTTTACTACAACTCCCAAAATCCCCAGCCAGCATGGATATGCTGGGTTGGGAATTTGAGGTGTTGTAGTAAAAAAGGGGGAGAGATTTTTCCAAGTTCTGAATTAGGCATTCTTTGATTCAGCTGGAGATGAGACCACATTGATATGGATGGTTTCAGGGAAATATTCTGAATTAATGGATGGACTGAATCATTGAGGTGTGATCTCATGTACATGGCCCCTGGATCACTGTGGCCTGGATTGTTACGCAGTGATCTCATGCATTTAGTTCCAATGTCTGTCTGATTTGAAACTGTGATCCTTGACAATAGTCAGTAACAAACGTTTCAGAAGAAAGAGCTAGATGCCTCAGATTGCCACTCTGTCTTGTATGTTTTGTTTCCAAGTAGCAGAAATTAATTTTAACCTGAAGTGCTGAAAAGGTTGCC